GCTTCATTTTGCAGTTACAATACAGTATTGGACAAATTAAAAATTTGACCTGATGTTGGCGCGATGAAAAGCAGAGGATCGCCAAACTTATTATCCTGATGGAGGCATGGATATTTGTTCTAGCTTTCATGGCAATCCATTAGATAGTTGTTGAGATATTCCAGTCTGGACCAAAGTGGCAGACTGACCGACTAAAAATACCTTAGCTGCAGATTTTGTAATATGAAGGGATGAATTAGTGAGTTGATTGATTGAGGCTCTGGTAATTAAGGAATTTTCTAATGCATGTAGAGCAGAATTATTAATGTCCATTAAATGACGCCTGACTGATTACCTCAAATAACACTCAATTTTTCACAATTTATTCACTTAAAGGAGCTTTGCTTGCATCCTAACAGCCTAAAAGCCCTTCACACTCTCACAGGTGTTTCCATTTATTCTGATTAGACCCACTACTGAAGTATCAATGACAGTAATAAAGTTTCAAAGTGAAAACACCTGTGTATGTAAATCATGAGTGTGTAGGAGGTTTTTAAAGTGGTTCCAGGCTCTACATTTTATATTAAAAAATAAACTATTAACTCCCTTGCTTCACATAGGTTTTGACATGAATTAAGGAGAGATTAATGTAAATCTTGTATGAAAGATTCGTGCAATTCGTTAAAAAAAGTGTTTTTTTTACCGACTTCCAGCTGACATCATGCTTGACTGAGTACTGTGAGAATGTGTCTAAAAACCCCTTAAAAAGCTGTAAAACTACAATCAAACATTGTAAAAAAGTTAGGCCATAAGGTGTTTAAGTTTAACACCCTTCTGAACAAAAACTCTTGCAGTTTTATGTCGTGATCCATGAATGTATAAGAATGTGAATTTAAAAAGCTGCAGGATGACCAAAACTAAGAGGTCTTTTAATGAAGTAAAAATGATTCAGTGCTCCATTTATGGGAGTGGGATTTGGCTTCACCTTGTGACCTAACCCCTAAATCCCACCGAGTACGGCTTTATGACGTTGTGTCTGTGTTCAAATCCGTTTCAGAAGCGGAGCATCTTCAGACTGCGTTGTCTGCCTGATATTGTTTGCCTACATCTTTAAATTTGTTGCTATGCTTCTGGCAGAACTTCAAGCATTGTCTAGAACGGCCTCGATCAGCTTCGAGCACCGTAACGGAGCCGGACTATGTCTCAGCTGTGCCCGTTAATTTGGGGGTAAGGTTGCCATGAACTGCCATTGAGACAGAATGAACCTGCACAGGAGAGATTACGCAACATTATTACAGTAGATGGAGAGAAAAGACAAAGCGCGCAGGACAAACTAAACACAAGATGCAGTTGCAGCTGAAAAAACCACCAACACAGAGATGCTAAAATCACTTTTCACACATTCTCCTGTGATTGGGGAGTTAAACTCCTCAGAGGAAGATGTGAGTTTCTGCTTTTGAGAGCATTGTCAGTCTTATCCAGTAGAAACAACCTTTCTGCTCTGGCCTTGGCTGCTGATTGAACCCAGATGGTGGCGGCTGCACGTTCTAATGACTCATCTCCTTTGTCCAAAAGGGCTCTCTTGAAATATGGTAGCGCCAGCACTGTAATTGTGACATTCTTGCATTGTTTGATGTCCATGAGAATGAGCGGAGCGGTCTGCAGCGCATGTGTTGACTGAATGGAGCGTACATGTGGTCCAGCTCAGCTCGCTGACAGATGATGCATTGGAGGGCTGGTGTTTGGAGTTAGGAGCTCTGTGGAGGAAATATTTTGCCTCTGCGGTCGTGTTTATATTCTGACAGGGTCTGATACACTGTCAGGCCTGAGTGATGAACCGGCGGGTCCAGCATGGTGGCTTTGATCCGTGTTCGCTGTGGGATCTGCTCCGTCCAAAACAATCCAAACTCGCCTCTTTCTTGCTGAGAAAGTGAGAGTTTCACACTTTGGTTTTTCTAGCTTGGCAAGCTACACAGAGGAGGTTTTTGTTTCTGACTTTAGGGCACAAATTCTATGAAGGGGAAGGAGTTTTAATGATCACAGGCACATACAGGGAATGTGACTGAGCGGGTTGTTGCATCAACATCATAACTGATTATTCTCAGCTGTGCCAGTGACAATGTTGGTCGGTCAGACTGAAATATCTCAACAATTATTGGATGGATTGTCATGCAATTTTGTACAGGCATTCATGGTCCAAAGCAGAAAAATCCTTATGTCTTTGGTGAATGCCTGACTTTTCCTCTAGCGCCACCAGCAGGTTCATATTTGTGGTTTTGAGTCACATATCTTGACAACTTGAAACTGGATTGTCCCGGTCAAAGACCTCCGGACGAACACAAAGACAGAGAATACAGCACAACCTTAACTGAAAAACACTTAAATGCCAAATTTCAAATGACACTAAATTTATGACACACCATTTTTTGGTCATCATGCAGTAACACTAGGACGGCATTGAAGTCGCATTGATTGAGTATCTCAAGTTGTGAATTTGTTGCGCAATTTAATGAGAAACATTGTCTTGTGCAGAATCTTAGTTGTTCCTTGTCTGTGGCAAGGAAGGCGACTACAGCAATCCAATTTTTTTACAGAGGTTTTAGGGCGGTCGAATGTTTATTGTAGTAATCTGTTAATCATTTAGTCTATAAAATGTCCAAAAACAGTTCCCATAGCTCGTGGTGATGGTCTTTGCATTCATTAGAATGAGCTTTTGATGTAGCCTAAAACAAGTATTTCTGCACCCTAGTGGTCATATATGCCTTCAAGCAGCTTTAAAACAACCTGGAAGCATCTCATTTCCAAACAAGAATAAACCACAATTCAGATATTTCCAACTTGTTCCCTTTCCCGATGCATCTTTAAGCCCTACACTACGTTTCCACACTACTGTACCTTCTACAGATCCTGAACTGATGCACTCACACGGCTCATGCTGACCCTGAGGAAAGGTGACCCACAGGGCATTGTGCACCACGAGCGGAGGTCAGCTGTAAGGAGGCAGAACGTCTGAGGCCATAAAAAGCCAGAGGACAGATAAACACTGATGCTATCGATCCCACCTGCTTCTCACGTACACATGTGGGTCAAATATTCTCAGCTCCGCTCGCTGTTTCTCACCAAAGTTCAAGCTGTCCATCATCGCTGGGTCTTTGAAGTTGTGGTGCTGCGTCGTTAATGTTTATGCCTCCATCACTTTGATTGTCGCAGGGATTTATCGTGCTATCATACCATTAGGCTGCATACCTGCGTTATTATGCAGAGTTATGGGAGGTGTTGAAGGACTGCTCATGCTCCTGCTTGTGTGTCACGGCAAGTCTGTTTAAAGTGACTTAGATGTCCACCGAGTAAATCTTTCATATTGATCGACTTGGCCGTTATTCTAATGAGGGCAGGACAAGCTACGAGACTGCTACTGTCCTCCCCCACAGCTGGTCCTCCACCTGGGGGTCGGGACCTTTTCAGGGATCACAGAGAGACTTAAAGGGGGGTTACAGGATGAATTCAAGAGACATTTACAAGAAATGTGTGTCCATCTCCAAAATATAAAACGCACATTTGGCAGCAATCTGTGCTGTATTTACTTATAATGTCCTACAACTTGATCAAGTAAAGTTATAACAAAATCAGATTTTTAATAACATTTTAATCAATGCAACGTGGCAGAAAAAAGACAAATGTTCCCATGATCCATTATAAGAAAAGCCTTGGCCTAGACTTCAATCATTTGATAAAAATAAGAAATTTAATTTACAAACATGACGCAGTGCATGATTTAACAACATATGAGAAAAATATTTAGTGGCTGTGTTTACAGGCACAGTGAATAATGCTAGCTTTATGGAATTAAATGCAGGCATCAAGATGGGTTTATTTATCATATATTTTTTACATATAAGTATGTATATAAATATAACATGTGATTTTAGAACAGCAAGTTAATGACTGGACTAAACTGTTAAGCTGGTTGGAATAAAAAAGAAGCTCTTCAAATGAAAATTTGTTCGCAAACTGAAAAAGATTTGTTATGGTCTGAACCGGTCCCAAGATGTCCAACGTGTTGATTCATAGTGGGTTTAGCACTACGAGAGACACTTTAACAGTGTACAATTCATCTAAGTTTAATGTTAAGGTTATATATGCAAATTAAAACAATATAGCAGCAAGCAACTATTCTCTTTATAAAGATACAGAGTCACATGGTGTCTCTCTCCCTTCTGCTGTGTTGGTATCGCAGCCTCTCCTGTGGTTTGTTTCCATAGGGCGGGGTCTGCTCCGCACTGAAAATGCTGTCTTTATCATCTACGGCGGTGAATTAGGATTTATTTTCCACCAACCAGAGTTGGTGATTGTTGGGAAACGACTAACAAAGGATGGTTTGGATGATTTATTTTGTTTCTGTCCACTCTGAATGAAGTTATGATGATACACAAGGTAAAATACCGTTTTTTATATGGAGCCTGGTGGCGAGTAATAGCAATGTTACGGCTGTTTATGGTTAAACTAAAGGTCTATCTCTGTAGGGACACTGAGAATAACAATCTGAGTCGGACAGTGACATTTCAACGGGTCAATTTTACCCCAAGGATTAGCTAACGTTACGTAGCAGCCTGTTTCTGTGAATTAAGGATTTATTTGACCAAACCAGAGTTGGTTATTGTCGGAAAGATTGTGAAATGACTAATAAATACAGTTGGTCAGTTTTATTTGGTTTCTGTCCATTCTCTTTCTGTCCAAGTGTGTTTTACGATTATCTGCTAGATAAAATGATTCAAGTGAATTATATATAATGTTTTAACTTAAAAAAAAAAACACTTATTGGAGTTATGAGCCACTAACTTTTGCAGCTCTCAAAACCAATCTGCTCATTAGTTATAAGACCAAAACTTCATTTACAGCAGTTTCTCTCCTGAATCGTCGTTTTTTTCTAAGGCACTAAACTTACTAAATAAAATGATGTTTCTACGATAACCAATGCATGTAAACACAGAGCTCAACTAGCAATAGTTGAATCTTATTATTTACACACTGAAGATGATGAAGATGATGAGGAGCAGAGCAGGTGTTAAACTGGTCAGCAGGAGGTTTTGGCTGCAGTGTGACGCAGTGTTGAGCTCATAGTAGATGTTTTCTGAGCACTGATCGTGGTCGTCGCCACAAAAGGAGCCGGCAGACATGTCGTTCCTCCAGTCTGAATTATACATCCTCACTGTCCTGCGTCCTGGAAGAGCGGGTGAGAGGTCAAAGTTTCAAAAACTGGCCTACCTACATTTGACGTTTCTGAATGCAGGATCTTTACTTGTTTAAGGGAGTATTAATACTTTTACTTAAGTAAAAGTCCATAACTGCTGTGTTTGCTGTGATTGTGTAGCTTGTCACCTGTGTTCTGCTGGGCTACAGTTAGCTTAGCAATAGAAATACACCTCTCACTACAGAAAACGAATGGTAATACTCAGGGTACTGGCACCTTTTTTGGTCCAATTCAGGCACTAATTCAGCAAACCTGAACCCTAATTTGTTTGCTGTGCTTTATTTAAGGATCCAGAGTCTACACAAGATATTTTATTTAGAAATTTACCAGGCTCTCTATGCTGTTTCTCCTGGTGGTAGTAGGCAATAAGGACTTGTGGACAAAAATCATAAGTGCCCATGCTCAGTATGTAGTTGAGCTGAGTCAGTGTTGATTCACAGTGGGTTTAGCACTACGATAGACCATTTAACACTACACAATTTGTTTAACTTTAATGTTAAAGGTTATATATAAAAAGTTTAAGATGTTAAAGTCTTACTTGGTTCATAATAATCATAGATGACAACACTTGCTTCCTGGACCTTGGCGACCATGAACTCCACGACCAGAGGAATCATTAGACACTTCTCCTCTGTCGTCACCTATAAACACATTTTACCTGTTGGTTTTCACTTCACACAGAGCAACAGCAGTCAGACAGCAGTCAGACAGCAGTCAGGCAGCAGTCAGGCAGCAGTCACACAGCAGTCAGGCAGCAGTCAGTGTGTCTATGATTCAGTGTGCTGCAGTAAAGCTTACAGAGTCCAGGTACAGAATGACTTTCCCCGGCGGCGTCTCCACTTTCTTTACGACCTCATCGGTCTGGATACCGCCCGGGAGCAGGCTGAAGCCGCTCAGCAGGCCGACCTCCATAATGGCCATGCCAGTCGCATTCAGACCCAGAAACTCTGAAAGACTGCAGGGGGCGACACAACGACGGGAGGGTGTTAGAAAATTGTCGTAAATACAGTGGGACACTTCACGTACAGTGAACAGAAAATACAGATGTAAAAAATATTAACCAAACAACATCTTAAATAATGTTAATTAATTAAATTATTTGTATTATATTTACATACATACAAACTTTATTTGTATAGCATTTTTTAAATATTAATTTAGATATTTAATTATTTGTATTTTATTTATATGCGTACAAACACATTTTTAAATACTTACTTTCCTACTTTGCAAACTTTTGTATAACACATTAAAACAAAACAATATATATTTTAATAAACACAATTTGCATTAGGCATTATAGCTTCATATTAAAAATATTTGTATTTTTATTTGTTTATGTTTTTACTCAGTTTTTAATTTTATGTAGAATCCAGTTGATAATAGAGTGCTCATAAATTAAAAATAAAATATATTAAAAGTAACAAAAAATAAGTTTTCTTTCTTTATTTATTAACCGTTATTACTACAAATAAGTAAAACAAATATAAATACTAAATTTAGATAATACATTTTTCTTTTTAATAAATTTTAAACTTATATACAAATATACCAGCAGATTCATTTTAAAGATTAAATACATTATATTTTTTAACAATTCTTTCATATTAGCATATTAATTATAATATAGCATAATACATGTGAACAGAAATGTACAAACCACCTGTTTTGAACTCTGTCATGTTTCAGTTATGTTTCTCTGCAACACTGCTCTCAGATTCACATCTGGTATTTTTATTGTTTATCTCCTGGACTTTACTGATTATGTTTTATTGTTTGTAAACAGGCGCAGTGAAAGTTTGACAGGCGTCGTACACGTGCTGCTGATGGTTGCATTGCTGACACGGTTGCATCAGGCTGACGTGATGTGAACTAACAGGGCCGACTGTCACAGATCCAGCCCGCTCACCTGCTGCAGATGTACAGATGTGCCGAGTTTACTTCCTCGTCAAACAGCTCCACATACAGATGAAACGCCTCGCCTTCGCCTGCGTCTCGTCTCCTCCTCATCAGCTCCTCGTTCCTGACGTTGTAAAACACGTTCAGCTGAGGGAGGAGAAGAGAAGGAAAATCACCGTTATCATGTTGACGTGAGGGAGCACTACACAACTGATCACAGACCAGGTGATTACAACATTATTCCACTTGGAGAAATCCAAGACTGGATTTAGGTATAGAAATATTGTTTTTACTGCATTTCACTCTTGTGGTTGTTGATTTCAGTGGATTTTAATTGTTCTTTCTCTCTTTGTAAGTCTTGGTTTCTGGAACCTGGAGCACTTTTTTATCATGTTGCATCATGTGTGACTATTGTTTGAGTTATTTGTTAAATATTCTGTCAAGAGGAATGTCTCGAGTTTTACTACAAACTAAATCAGGACGTGTGGGAACCCTCATATTGTAGCCGACAACAGTTCCACACAGTAGTTGGAACATTTCAGTCGAGGTACCTGAAAGAGGGCGAGTCCGCGACCTTCTGCAGTCACACTGAGTCTCAGCTCCTCCTCTGGTGCAATCTGAAATGTAACAAGATGAAACAAATTTAAGCTCTGAGTTTTTGCATTCTACCTGCAGCAGGTGAGCCGGGTCACTACCATAAACTTCACTGATATAGTATGTTTAGAGACAGCACAAGACTAGGTGAGCCCAGAAGGGAAGCTGTAACTTAGCAAGAGGAAAGTGCAGTAAGTGGCGTTAACTGACAGTAAATGATATGTTGAAAGTTCACTAACGGATTAAAACATTGCTTGACTGTTGGAATGACATTTCTTTAAACTTTACACCGGCTAATCCAAAAATAGGAAAATAAGTGGAATGTGGGTGGAGCAGAGGCGGGCTGTGGGCCCCTTACTTATGAATAACTTTAAGTCTTAATGTCATTTAAACTGGTGAGTTTAAGTGAGTGTTTTTTGTACCAAGCTTTCCACTGCAGAAAGGAATTTAAATAGGATAATGCAAAAAATGTCCACCTGCAGGAGATCTGAACAGATTCAGCTCCACTGCTGATCAGGCTCAGCTAATTCATAACAATGTCCTTTGATACTGGGACTACAAATGTTTCACCTCTCTGTGGTTGTCAACAGTTTCTGATCATCAACAGATGCTGAATCATAACGGCGCACTGTTCCAGGTCAGCTGTCGGTTCTGCGTACCTGCTGGCTCTGGTGAAGCAGGTAGTTGTCCCGGGTGATGTCGAAGGAGGCGGCGTTGGTCGCAGCGTCGGTCTGCACTCTGATGGTGAGGGAAACGTCGTTAGACCCGGCGAGCGCTGCGAACGTGGACAAGGCCTGCAGAGCCACGACTGTGTCCTGAGAGCAAACAAGAGTCAGTCAGTGTACGGCTGATGCTTTGATACTCAGTGCTGACTTCCTGTTTACAGCTGCGTATGTGAGAGCTGTTCTGTGAGTGTGTGCATCTGTTCTTGGAGACAAACACAGTCATATTTGGCTGACTAAGCGTGAGAACATTATTATTCAGATTTTTTTGTTTCCTTGTCATGCATGTTTGTGCATGCGAGTGTCCTTGCGTGCTAACAGGTTAATTCCACTTCAGTCACCACATGCCCAGACGGCCACAGCCTCCCCCGCCCCTTCCTGCTCGAGTGACACAGACAGGAATTTCTCCTTTCACATGAACCCAGGTTGACCAGTTAACAAAAGCCTTAAATATTTTAAAGGTTGTTGTTCGTAGTCCGCCATGTAGAACTGCGACATTCAGATTCATTGCCGCTTTTTTTGTTATCAATTAACAGTTTAACTGTTTAAATATACATCATATAAATCATGAAATTAATAGCATAAATGTGCGACGACTAGCCGATTATTGGCTTTAACGACTACTAGTAGACGAGGAAAATCTTTAGTTGGGGCCAGTCCTACTTTGACATACCATTGTATACATACTGTTACAGAGTCTTACAGACAGGAAGATTGGGTAAGGGCTTCTGCAATGGGTGCTGCATCACCTGGCTGTCCTGGTTCGAATACTTTTCAGTTTTTTAAAAGAAGGGAGGAAGTTAAAAGATGGTTGAGGGTGTTTTCCATAGTCTAATGGTTTAGATTTCAGCAAGAGATGGTAGCTCCTTATCAATTATTAAGCTTTAAATGGATAGCTTTATTGTGCAAACATATAGAATGGAGACTGTTGTCACATAATCCCTTTGTAGGTCTATGAGAAATGTACATATTATTGAAGTTTTCTGAGAATATTTTGATTTATTTCTGTTTTTGAATGCATGTATCTGACCTGAGTACTTCCGAATCCCCCCTTGTGGTTCCGCTGTTGGCTGAGCCACTTCATGATGCTGAGGCCATCGGTGAAGAGACCCAGTCTGTGCTGAGAGAGCAGAAGGTAGGACATCATCTCGATGTCTGCGGAGCGAGGCTGCCACGACGACGACACGCTGCGGTCTGGGGAGGACCACATCGGCACGCCATCTACTCACAGAGGAGAGTCAGAGAGTCATTGAAGAAATATGATTTATCTGGTTTATTATAAAGCACGGCTGAGTTGAACCTGTACCTTTAATCTCAGCTCGTCCAATCAGCTCACTGAGCGCCATGTTAGCGCTGGAGCTGTCTGCCAGAGCCAGAGCGTAGGTGAGCAGGCTCAGGCTGTAGTTACTGGAGACGCCCAGAGCCAGGCGGGTCTCCAGGAACATCAGGGACGCAGACACCTGGCTTCCATACTGAGCCTGTCAGACAGGGAACAGGGCAGCAGCACGTAAGAGGTCACTTCAGCTCAATGGCATTTATGAGATCAGATCATAAAGACACAGCGCGAGGATGAGGCAACCTCTTTGTTTCATCCCATCTGTTTGTCCAGCTTTCACTCCTTGTGTTTTTACAGAGCACTCATTAAGATCAAACTTTATTGATCCCTGTGGGGAAAACATATCTACCAAATTAAGAGCCAAAATCAGTCCTTGCATGTGGTTGGAGAGTGTAAAAGTAATTTGTCTTCTGTCACTCCTCATGCAAAACCCATCTGTCCTATAGCTGCAGTGCATTCTGGGTGAAACTGGCCTCAGAGTCTCCTCTGAGATAGTAACTGTGACAGGATACATACACAGCAGGACATTTAACAGTAAAAATCAACTTGTTAGTGCACTCTGGTGGACAAACTCTGAAATACAGACACTGTAAAATATATATATATATATATTAATAAAATGACAAAAATGGCCTGAATTTACATGTCTAATGTAAAATAACTTGAAATATCTGTACCTATAAATAATCATAGTTAAAATAGATTTGCAAATCTATCATTTTTAGCAGATATTTACTGTTTATTTAATAGATTAAACCGTTTAACTTTAAGTTAAATACCGTTACATTTCTAAAATTATGACCATCTTTCCTTTGATGGCGGCGCTATTGTGCAGAATGATCTTTCATCTATACATCTTAAAGTGACCGTATTCACTCTCATTCATGGTTTTATGGTTTTAGTTTTCCTTGTGTGCATTAGTCACAAATGGTTATCCGCTATTATCAAAAGCACTTTGAATTGCACTCCCCTGTCTGACAGGTGTGACATTAATAAAGTTTGATTGATTTATTGACTCCTACCTTGATGTCGTTGTCTTCCAGCAGGGCGATGAGGACATAGGCTGTGAGGGAGACGGGCCCGTCCAGGCCTCCTTGGAGCTCGGTGTGAATGACCCGGCCGGGCTCCTCGAATCTCCCATCAGCCCCCTGCTGGGCTCCTAACCAGGCCGCCACCATGCTCAGCACATGGGCGTCGATGCTGATGTACGGCCGCGCCTGCAGGAAACACCTCAGCACGAAAGCAGAGAGCCTGCAGAGGTGGAGTTCATTTTACCACTTTTATCATGTTCCTGAGGTTTCTGTCCACATTACAAGCTGCTACATGACGTACCAGGTGCTTCCAGAGGAGTCCTGGTCCCCGAAGGCACTGAAGGAGCCGTCTCCTCTCTGGTAGGACAGCTCTCGCTCATAACCTGATGAGAAAGTCACCAGAGATTTAAAATAGCCCCAAAAATAAATCCAATCCTAAATAAGATTATTTAACTCTGTAGAAGTAAAGCAGTAAAGCAAGTTGTGTAATAGAATAAAGCATCTTACATTCAAGTAGAAATACACACATTTCAGAGTGTTACACCACGGACCACCAATTTGAGAGGATTTTGTCTTCAGCAATCCCCTCTGAGTATTCTTATTTGATTTTTAGGTTTGAAGAGTCTTTATAGTCAATTAATGACCAAAGAAGAATCACTATAAACTACAATCAATAAAAATGGCTAATCCAGTGTGTTGCCTTGTTGTTCTTCCAACAAGGCAACACACTGGTCAACAAGTGCTCAACAAGTGTCTGCGGGGGG